TAATTTAATTTTGTTTGTTTTTATCAAACAAATTAATTTTCTATTTGCGTCTGCCTTTTCGTCTGAGGTGTATGTACACTGCATGCATGCGTCCCGAAAGAAATCAAAAAATAAAAAGTTATTTTTTAAATAAATAAATATTTAAAATGCAGAAAATAAAAAGACTTATTTAGCAAACTGAATTAATTTGTTATCTTTTTCGTTTTTTGTTTCTTTTGCATGCACTTGCTCTCATCCATTTATCCATTTATCTAATATTTATTTACCTATTTATTTATTTATTTATTTATTTATTTATTTATTTATTTATTTATTTATTTTTATTTTTATTTTTGTTTTTATTTCAGGCCATTCGCTCCAAAATTGCGGACAGCCGCAGCTATTTGCAAAGCCTCTGTGTGCAGCAAATGTCGGCGCTGCAGCAGCAAGGGGGCCCCCCCTATGCTGCTGCTGCTGCTGCTGCTGCTGCTGCTGCTGCTGGCGGCAGCAGCAGCAGCAACGCGCAGCAGCTGCAGCGCCTCGCCTTCCTCGTCATGGGGGCCCTCAAGTCTGCTGCTTTCCGGGGCCCCAAGGAAGGTACTTTTAATTTTATTTTTAACTTTAATTAATTATTTAATTAAATCATAATTATAACAAATGTAATTGCATTTAGAATCAAAAGCTTAGTAATTAATGCAGTGAAAGCACCAAACCGAGAGCAGCAGCAGCAACAGCAACAGCAGCAGCTGCAGCAACAGCAGCAGCGGCAGCAGCGGCACCAGCAACAGCAGCAGCAGCAGCAGCAGCAGCAGCAGCAGCAGCAGCAGCAGCAGGGCGTATCTATTTTTGGCTGTCTTCATTTCCTTATTACATCTAAATCGAAACTGCAGCAAATAATAAAAATAAAAAATAATAATAATTACAAGTAATGATAATAAATAATAATAATAATAATTAATAATTAATAATAACTATTATTTTGGACTCTTTCTTTTTTATTTTGGCAAAACAATTCAATTAAAAAATAAAATATTCACAAAGCAGATTTAAAACAATTAACTGTTTGATTCATTTCAAAATGAACTTTAATTCATCTTTGAAACCTCTAAACGCCGCAGAACTTCACTTGCTGCGCTGCTGCCGCTGCTGCTGCTGCTGCTGCTGCTGCTGCCGCTGCTGCTGCTGCTGCTGCTGCTGCTGCTGCTGCTGCTGCAGTGAGCAGCGACATGCGGGCCTTCGTCTTCCAGCGGCTCTCCTCCGTCTGCCTGCAGCAGCTAGTGGCTTATTTGTCTCCCCGCATGTTCGACATGACTGCAGCAGGACTCGAAGCAGCAGACCAGCAGCAGCAGCAGCAGCAGCAGCAGCTGCTGCTGCTGCCACCCGCGCTGCCACCCTCCAGCCAATACATGTCTCAAGACGGGGCTTACTTGCTCGAAAACGGAGAGCAGCTGCTGCTCTGGGTTGGCAGGTACGCAGCAGCAGCAGCAGCAGCAGCAGCAGCAGCAACAGCAGCAGCAGAAGCAGCAGCAGCAGTAGCGACAGAGATACAGCAGCAGTTGCTGCAGCAGAGGAGCTGCTGCAGCTTCCGCTGCGGGGGACTGTTTAATCGCATCTTAAATTTAGCGGCAAACAAACTGGCAGCAGCAGCAGCAGCAGCAGCAGCAGCAACAGCTGCTGCTGCTGCTGCTCCAACGCTCGACCGTGCTGCTGCTGCTGCTCCACCGCGTAACCCTGCTGCTGCTGCTGCTGCTGCTGCTGCTGCTGCTGCTGCTGCTGGGTTTCAGGTCGATATCTTCTGAGTGGCTGACTTCTGTCTTTGGGGTGCACTCTCTGGACCTGCTGCACCCAGAAGCAGCAGCAGCAGCAGCAGCAGCAGGCAGCAGCAACGACAGCTTGGGGCTGCGAGTTGCTGCTGTCATTAGAGAGCTGCAGGCCCAAAGGAGACAGCCAGATTTCATGAACTTGACTGTCATCAGGCAAGGAGACCCCAATGAGCAGATGTGAGTTGCTGCTGCTGCTGCTGCTGCTGCTGCTGCTGCTGTGTTGCTGCTGCTGCTGCTGCTGCTGCTGCTGCTGCTGCTGTGTTGTTGCTGCTGCCGCTGCTGTCGCGCGCTTTCGCGGCGGTTTTATACGGTGTGTATATATTGTGCTCGTAAGTTGCAGCAGCTGCAGCAGCACAGCAGCTGCTGCAGAAGCAGCTGCAGCAGCACAGCAGCGGCAGCAGCTGCAGCAGCAGCTGCAGCAGCACAGCAGCTGCTGCAGCTGCAGCAGCAGCAGCAGCTGCAGCAGCAGCAGCAGCTGCCGGTGTTGCGCTTTGCGTTTTGATGTGTTCTCTGCTGCTGCCGTGCCTAGTGTTAAGGGTTTAGGGTTTACTTAGGGTTTAGGGTTTAGGGTTTAGGGTTTAGGGTTTAGGGTTTGGGGTTTGCAGGTTCTTTTCGATGTTGGTGGAAGACCGCGTGCCGTCTTTGCCAACACAGACATCGAGGGCTTAGAGTTTAGGGTTCAGGGCTGAGGGTTTAGG